ATTAAATATGACTCTTTTCTAATATTTACTAGTAAAATATTTAGCACCCCGATAAACAAATTCATTAAGTAAATAGTCGCCACAAAAGAAAATATGATCGTTAACATAAGTAAAGTGTGGTTATCAGATAAATTCCAGCTTGAAATTAGCGTTGTGTCTCCTATTCAATTATACACATTTAGAAGTTGGTATTAAAAAAGTGCATAAAAAAGTAAGGAAATTTGCTATTATCGTTACTTATGATACTAATAACTTTAGAAAAAATAATAATTGAGCTTCACCTGTTAGCATAAGATAAACAGCTGAAATTGATGAGCCAATCATTTTCAGTCGTAGCATGGGACTCATTAAGTGAAGAGTTGTCTCCAATTGCACCATTAGGATTCATAGCGTTGTAAGTTGCAACTGAATTCAGCGAATCGTTCTGAATAGTGGAATAACGCAATAAAAGGTGGAGCGAATGTGCAAAAGCAATTATAATAAACCCTAATATTATCAAAAACGAAAATCCTCCTCGAGCTACGTTGATTATCATAGAGAAGTAAACACTAGAAAATTCAATCGCACGAAAGAATAAAAGAAATTTGATTTCCAATAATAAAGTAGAAAATGTTGCAATTTCTGTTGGCATAACGTTACTTTTAAGCCATATAATTGAAGATATAGTTGGCAGTAAAAATGCACCTAAATCTTAGTTTATGAGCAAAAAATAATAGGATATTAGTCATAATTTGATAAAATAATTAATGCTATATATTAAATTATATTACCAAAAAAATTCCATACACTAGATACATAGGTTGATGGTGAGAGAATAAATTGACGTAATTCAAAAAATAAATGCAAAAATCCAAAATAAATAGTTATATTTAATATTTAAAAGAATAAATAGATTAGTTTGAGAAATACTTTTGTAATATGTTGCCGCAATTATGAAACTAAAAAGAAAAACAGTATAGATTGCCCAAGCTGCAAAATAATATTTTCTTCCATAAGTATCCCATTTAAATCTAAGTAGTGCTTCTCCATTTAAATATCTATAGAATTCCTCATTAATTTTTTCAAGCTTATTTGAACGTGTAAACGAATTTTGACTAGGTAACAATAGTTCATTCCGAAGTTTATAATCTTTTGGATAAGAAACGAAGCATGGTAGAGGAATTGCAAGTATTGTTGAACTATTACCTACATATTCCAAATTGAAAATTGGGTTTATAATGAAATCTCGAAAAAAAGGGCGACTTTCTTGAAAATCTTCAAAACTAGTCTGAAAACTAATCCAATGATTCCGAATATTAGAAGTTAATATATCAAAAAATGATGTTTTAGATAAATGACAGTATCTTCCATAACTGGAAAGGTGTGAAGAAAAAGAGTTTTGAATTACAATATTAGAAGGAACTACAAATCCTATCGCGGATAAAATGCTTGCTATAAATGCAGGATGATTTTCTGATAATTCATTAAAGTTTTCAAAA